GCTTATCTTATTTCTACAATCTTATTGCATTCAAATATGACATATTCACACTTCCGAATGTACTTTATTTACTTATCTCATCTATATGATGCATTTTCTTTGAACTTTACTGTATTATTCTTATTCTCTTTGGTTCTGAGTGAAGCATATTATTTCAACAATACACTTGTCCTTCGTTCTATTCTCTGCTGTCGTCTTCAGCTTACCCCAAGACTGCACATAATCTCACATCTCCTCCTCCAACTAACACGATCTCCTCCATCTAACCGTCGTAACGACCACCACTCGCAGCTTCCCGTTCGGATTTCACTGAAACGATGGCCTTCACTGAGTGTGATGTCATTCAACGGTCCCCTCAATGAATGCCCAATTCATTCGTCTCCATTGTCTCCTACATACATCTTGAGCAATCATTTCTTGATCATTTTATTCCATATTTTCTGGTCAATTGGCCATTTTATTTTTTCAACAATGAGCTACTTAGGACAGCTGGTGATACAAGTTTGATTTATTCTGTTGGAAATGCCTTTCATGACAGTCAGTGAAAGTTTCTAACTCATATAGAAGAAACAACAGACTTCACACTTCTGTTAAAAATTCAAATTTTGTTGCTTATGTCTAATGCGGAACTGTGTGTTGAACTGTGTTTATTCATTCGTGTGTTGAGTTGACAACAGTTAGAGAACCATTAAAAAACCAAGTAGGATTACTGGACAGCCAGCTGTTACGTCCAAGTTTGCGACTCTAAAGCAGTACGCACCCACCACCATGGTTTGAACCCATTACCTTCTGGTTACAAGGTGAGCTAGTTAGCAGACCATTAAGCCAATATAGCCAGTCCATGAATTATAACTTTTGCCAATGTAGGACATAGTGCAACCATTTCGCAGTATCTTCTTCGATGAGTTACTGCCTTACCCTCAACGTGCTTTACCCTACCGTTGATGGCTTCTCAAAACAGCCCCAGGTAATTGCCTGGAACAGGCCAGTCGCTAGTAGGCATCAGACTAATTGAAGGTAACTGTTCCGTGGGAATTTTTCTTCGGTTGGTTGGATGAAGGAGGAAGTCCTCGGTTCGAAGCCGGATGCGCGCGTACTGCCTAAGAGTCCCAAACTAATACGAAGACATTGTCCAGTACCCTCGACAGGTTGTCCAATATTTTTTTAACTGATGTCAGCTTATGATGAACTCCTCCAGTCCTCTAATTTGGAAATAGCTTCAAAAGTATGGAGTGCAGTGTTGCAAGCCATCACGAAGCTATTCAGAAAGTTATATGACATATATATATATATAAATCCACGAAGTTTAGTCTGGTGGAGACTTTCAAGTGCAGACAGGAGTAAGACGAAGTTGCCAACAATCGCCAATGACAGTTGTGTCTGTGATTGACTGGATCATAGAAAATCCTATGGAAAGTGAGAAGACGGGCATATGCCGAACTGATAACAAAGACTGTAGTGTATTTTGATATCGCGGATGACTTATGTTCAACGTCACAAAACCCGAAGATCTACAATAGAGGACCAGCAAGGTAGCGGAAGAGACGACGGGAGAAAAGACTCCAGGCTAATATGGAGAATACAGGGGTAATTACGATACCAGAGTGTCAACAGTAAGCAACCATTACCAATAGTGGAAGAAATCTAAGAGTAATCACCTTTTTCACCTGCGTTTAGATGGACAGCATCATTCTGACCATTGAGGATTTCAAGATCAGCTTGGGTTGGAAAATCAAGACTCACCTTCGGTAATCTGAAATCATTGTTTACATCACCTTTACTCTGAATCTTCGACACTAATGCCATTTATTCAGTGTCTGAAACGGTATTTTCAACAGCCCTCTGCAGATATTCATTAATACTCACCTTCTCTGGCTGTAAAGTAAAGATTAGCAACAAGAATCTGTGGCAACAAACTAACCAAAAATCTATCACCGAACAATAATGCAGAAAAGAAATAAAGAAAAATTCCGCATATACTGAAGGGACTGATGCGTGACATCACGCGTCAGGCTGTCTACTACCACCCAAATTGGAAACTAAGAGTTTAGCATGGGTAACAAGGATAAGTTCTTATAACGCATAAGTGAAAGCTAATGATCAGTCTTAAACGCGACTATTGATAAGAAAGGGAATAGAGGATGCGCTTCTAAAACTCTCTGTTCCACTTAAAATCAAAGGGAATAGGAATAACAGTATAGTTTCCTCCAAGCTTTGATTAACTTTATCGATTTTTGTCTATGAACTTAATTTAAATCCATAAGAAAACTGTGGATTCCTGGATGTTGCAAACATTCATCTTAATAAATAGCCAGTAAACAGGAAGAGTGTAGAAATTACATTGTATATTCATAAAATGTGTATACTGTATCGGTGATCAATGTATATGGCTAATTCTAAATAATGTCGATGGGTCTACTAAGCTATAAGACTAGCCATGTATCACACTGCCGCAAGTAAGGGATCTTCAACATTGAAACAGCTCTTGCATCAACGAATAATGTTCACATCTAGATATGATAGAGAAGATTTGTACCTAGGGTAGATGCTTTTGATGTGGTTGTGTTCTCTGATCTGGATAATTAATTTGCCAAGCTTTCATCGCCCTACTAGGTAACATTTTCTGTGCACACTTCAACTTGATGAAATGAGCTTTTAGATTTCTCCACGAGTTTATTAATCATCTCTCCTGGTGAACTTTGGTGGGATTGGTTGTTTTTGTGTGTTTTCACACCTTCTAGGCAGCTACTTGTATTGGGACTGATTGTTTCTTTGACTTGAACTTTGACCCTTTGTGTGTGAAATTTCTTTCTTATCGGTTGATAAATTTTGTCTATCTCGATGTGTCTATTGATTGATGATTCACTGGAATGCCAAGCTGGCTTCTAAAAATTCTCTTGCATTCTAGTTGTTTCATCTGTCTAATATTTGAACGTTGGTTGTCCCAGTCGAACTGATGTCCATGGTTGTCTGTATGTAGTGATATGAGCCAGGGAGTGGACATAATGTCTTTTGATGGCTAGCATATGATCGTGGATACGAAGACGAAGGGGAGGTCCACTTTGGCCAATGTAGAGTTTTTTGCAGTTGTTACAATTTATTTTGTAAATGATGTTAGTTTTATCTTCTTTCGTTATTGAGTCTTTTGGTTGACATATCTCAGTCACAATTCAAATTCTCTATTTACTTATTATATAGCTCTACGTCAAAATTCATATTAGTTTAGTTTGAAAATTAAAAATATTCAGATACTAACACGTGATAATTTTTTTTATTTCCTTCACATTCCCTTTGGAACATATGGCTTCAAGCTAGTGGCTTGAAGTTTCCGTAGCAGTGTTTATTTTTAGAGGATGGGGTTGCTAGCCTCATGCCCAACCTTTCCTCTTAACCGGTCTTATTGCTGGTTTAACGAGGTAAAGGAGTGCATCTGCCGGGGATTGAACCCCGAACCATGTGCGTGGTTGGTGAGCGTCTTAACCGCTGTCCCACCGACGCACTTGTGATAATACAAATCATAAGTACACTACGTCACGTTCAACAGCTATTAGGCCGAAAGATCGCTTTGATCCGGCTAGGAACCTCCAGTGACTGACGTGAATTCTTTCCAGTGACTCAAAAAACAGTAATATATACCATAATGTAATTCTCGTCCATTCGGATTTCGCTATATGAAGTCAAGCAGATCTAGGTTTTTTTCGGTTTTGAGAGGAAAGCATGCTAGCTTTTGACCTGGCACTTTCACGAGAAACAACCTAATTATAAGTATAGTAACGAGATTTTAGTGAACCTGGCGGTTCGCAAAGAGCCACTCAACAAGAGCAATTTGTAAACATTTGTGAGTTGTTATGGTGAGAGCTGTCTACTAGCCAAAATTGGTAGACAGCGGTTTACGTTGGTGCTTATGTGCCAAATCTTGGTCATGAGAAAAAACAAGAACAAAGACTAATCTTGAGAAACTCAACCATCAATCACGGCATGGGCGGATACGATTAGCAGGTATATCAACGGGCTGTTTCAGAAACGGCAACAAAGACAGAACAGAATAACCTACAGCAGGGAAACGACCAGTCAGAAGACGTTACCTCTCTGCTTACAATTACGAATACTAATACACATAAAAATTTACAAATATATGTTGATTTTCTCAATTAACAATCTGCTGCCTGGCCCTTATCTTCTGTCGTTACGCTGTACCAAAAACAGGCATCAGGCATTCACTCTTAGCATAGCGAAGATCCCAGACAAATAGTCTATATCTCAATATATGAATCAGATCAGCATCCAAGGGCAGCATGGATTCATGCCATATTTTGATTTGACTACTACCAACCCTTTTTGATGTGTGTCCCTGGTTCATTGGTCAAATGTTTGCCAGCCACAATGTTTCATTTTTTTTTTGGCGAATAAAATTCTAAACCTTGCCTAATCAGCAGTAAGTCTGGGAAACAGAGAAGGTTAGGTATGTGGAGAGCAACCCTACACTGGGAAGAGGGAACTACTATCACTCCGACTTTAAGGCTTGCTACGTATGGAAGAAAATATGTCCTTTCCCAACCCAATCTTGTATCAGGCACTATGACTCGTTGGGAAGTGCGGTGACTTGTCAAGCATAACACACCTTCTAGCCGACTAAATCGACGCATCTTCACAATCTCACCGATTGATATCTATCCTTACGTAATTACGTTTAGGCATAATATAAAGATCAGTGAGCCTATTCTACTTACTTCAGTAGACTGAACTCAGACACCCGTGATCGTAATCAATTAGCTCCTTAGTATCCTATACCTTTAATTCAACCTTCTTGGGACTGCATGGTTTCTGTTATCATCACATGGATATTTCGCCAGCCCAATCTTTGTCGCGAGCCGGCAAAAATAAGGTTAAAAAACTCCTTTCCCTTAACGATCGGTTCATTAGAATTAAGATAACTTCTTAAAACGAAGTTAAGTGATCAATACTCATAATCACTTCGTTAAATATGAGAGTCGATGCAAAACAGACCCAAATTAACATGTTATATTTGACGCCAGTTTACCCCAGCATCTTTAATGTCTCTGTAAGCAGAAAAAAAAGAACTCATTACTTATAAATTAACTCTGTGTTCTTTCAATAAAAAGAAAATAAACACATACATATACATGTATAGATATCTTTGCCTTCCTTTACATAAATAATAATTAACAATGGAAGGTAAAAACACATTTTAAGATAAGAAAAGAATAAAGTAATACCAATGAAATCTAAATCAAAATAAAATCCCCTTAGTTTATACTGAAGACAGATTTCTGTTTAAAAACTTTTGCGATTGTCTCTCTATCTCTCTCGGTCTCTCCACAAAGCTTTTCTCCCTTTCACATTTTCTTATAAAATATGATGTAATACAGATGTGTAAAAGTAACAATTTAATAAAATGAAAACTATAAATGTGTCTTTGTTCACTTGTAAACGTGTACAATAATTCATTGAACGTATTAAACGTTCAACAAAAGATAATTTTGCATCATTTTTTACCTTTAAATGATTTGTTTCAGCCAGTGTATTTGGTCGAATGAATTTACGATTGAAAGTTGATGATGATGATGAGTGTAGAGGTGATGAAAATGACGAGGGACGACGACGAGGAGGAGGAGGATAGTGTTGGCACTAAAAGAATTAATGAAGACAAGTTAAATAATACAATTGTTCTTTTGGTAAATATGATATTAGAAATGTTTATCACCAATTGTTGAAGTTGCTTGAAGCTGTAGGTGGAAGTCGTGAGCAGTGGATTGTGTGAACAAATGTTCGCCTGTGATGTAGACTGGCATTCAAGCTATGTTTGATTGTCCACTAGTTAGTAGCTAGTGTAATATATCTAGTCTTATCAGCGGTGCAGACTGAATTATCTCAGTCAGTCAAGTTTGCAATATGGCCACGATGCCACTAATTGTCTCATCGTCACGGTACACTGTGAACTGAATCGTTGGTATTAGAGGTTTGAAGGAAATTGACTACAGAAATCCCTACCTCACCTAGGTTTTGTGCTAGTTGGCACTCACCAGTCAGTCAACAAGGAGTATCTGCAACTACCTTGAAGGAAGTCATATCCCTTCTGAGATTCTAAATCGCGTCACCCAGTGAGTATTGCAGTCACAGACGCTACAATTGAGCTCTTCGGACTCGTGATTGACCTTCTGTAGGACTGCACTGGATACTTTGATTGGACACTAGTAACTAGTCTAATGTGTTCAGTCCTTTCCTTGATTACGTCTCTGACTGCAATACGCACTGGGTGACGCCATTTAGAATATCACGAGGGATATGAGTTACTTCACGGTTGCAGACACGCCTTGTTGACGAGTGCCAACTCGCGCAAAACCTACGTCAGGTAAGGTTTTCTGTCGCCGATTGCCTCTAACCTTCTAATATCATCAATTCAAGGTATCTATCAGAGTCTCAGTGTCTGAATAGTCAATCCGCTTGGTCTCATCACCTGGAGATCTTTAGTTTGATCCTTGTTCAGGTCGCGAATGAGTCCATCTGAAAATTCATCCTGAAAGTAGGACGGATCAAGTGTTCAGTGGTTCTCTAACTGAAGTCTGTTTGTGCTCAAACTTAGCATTGATTCAGTAGATTAATATGTAGAAAGAATGAATCCGGTGGCGTATGGAAATGCTGAAACGTCCATGCTTTGTAAAATAGTTTGAAATAACTGGATTTTTATCATATATGCCGTCTTTGAAATTATTATTCATAGCAGAAGGAATATCTTATTTGACCCATAAAACTTATGAAATTGAGCCATCCAATGATAGAGATCAGTTTATTAATTTCTTAGGATAATCACAGAGTTTATTTACCAGTCATTTTAATTTGTTCGTAAGCATTCCGAGTGAAAAGTTATACTTCAAGATTTAGCTCTGAAAAGAACTTGGCTACTGTGGTTTGAGTATAATTCCATTGTGGGTAAAATTTATCTTCATATAGTCACATAGTGCTATACAGTATTATTTACTGATGACCACATTTTGAGCACAATTTATCCCTGCTCATTACCATCATATCAGGTTGCTCATCAAACTTTCTCACTTCGTTTATATTGGTTCCACCATTTCTCATCTCTTGATTTATTGGTAGTAGTATTTTCTGTATTTCTGGTATGAATGATGTATTATTCCCATGACACGTGTTGTGTGTAGATTCTATGAATAAAGATTCAGTAATCAGCCACCTCTCTCTCCACCAACCTATATTAACTTTTAGAATTTTAGCCCTTGCCCACCTTATTGTTTGTTTGTGTGGTAATGCGTGTAGTGCAATTGCTGAGCTGTTTTCCAAATTACTGATCTTCGCCGTGTCAGTCATTCTAAGCTTGATTAAATTCTTGTGTTCTGAAAATCTGACTACTCCTAATCTACTAGTTTCAACTAGTGCGTCGGTAGCACGATGGTTAGAATGCTCTCCGACCATGCACATGGTCCGGAGTTCCATCACCGGCCGACTCACTCCTTTACCTCACTAAGCCAGAAATAATGCTGATAAAGAGGAAACGTTGAGCATGAGGTCAGCAACCTCATCCTATAAAAGTAAACACTGCTAAGGAAACTTCAAGCCACTAGCTTGAAGTTCCACTGCGAACGTGAAGGAAAAAAACCAATAATACATTATGACGTAACGATCAATATCCGTAGTGATTATTTGCCATAATCACTCTGTTATGAATCGTTTATCACTTAGCCCTCAGTGTTAAGGCTCACATATACATTTGCAAGAAGCGGATTGTAGGAATTCTATTTGTTTCTGGTTAGACCATGGATTCATATCACCCGAAGGACGAATAAAAGCAATGGAGTACCGGATAGCTGTTTCATCCTAGTTTGGAAATCATCGGCAGTAATCACCCATTTGGGTTTGAACCCAGGACCATCGGGTTACAAGACTGTCTTGTATACTATTCAACCACCGGGAGCCAATTCAATGGCCAGGCCACGAACTGTAACTTCTACCATTTCGTGATTCTTAGCGCGACAATCAACCAGTGTCATGTTTAAAAAGACAAGCATTGCCTCCAACGTTCTGTTTAAAATGAAACGTAATATCTTGTAAGTGGCATAGTCTTACGAATTCAAGAAAATCATAGTAATTATTCACTTCAAAGTTACCATATCTCAAACAAAATAAGATTATGATTATAACATGCTAAATTTCATGCGCAGTGCATATGAAAATAAATTGAATCGGCATTCATTACTCGTCTCAAAATCATTTCATTTTCTTTAAAAAATAATGAGAGATAAATACAGAATATGATTAATAACTGAAACGAATTGACTCTCTAAATTATTTCTTGTATCATCTGTGTAGCTCAGAAATTTTGAGGCAGTTTAAGTATCTAGATTTACATAATTCTGGAGAAATACATATGCCTTGAACTCTAACTCGAAAAATCCCCCTTACGTAGTTTAAATCGCTTCATCTCTCAACAAATTCACTGTACCAAAGGTTGATAGTTTTAAATACTCATAATTTATTCGAATGCAGAACGAAAACGCTAAATAAGGGCTACTTATTTTGCCGGATGATAAGGGCTGAATGGAATGATACCAAAATAAACCGTGTGGTTTTGAAAGACCGTGCCCAATTACGAAGTTAATTGACGAGGGAAGTATTATACATATCTGTGGAAGATAAAACGTAATTAAAGACTGCAAGATATGTATCAAACTTGGGCTAAGATGGTTGGAACTCAGCTATTTCATAACAGATTGTGAGCCGTACTTTCTAAACGAGGGCCTGTGATAATACTGATTTGTCGAGAATGAAGTAGGTGGAAAACGATCCGAACCTGGGATGCAATTCCCAATTAATAAAAACGCTTACTTCAAGGAATCACATCTGCACTAATTTCATTCAGACGCACAGCAGCAATTGGGAAGTGAAGGGAATCGTTCACATTATCCGTGGTCATGTGAGTAATTCCTCACAGTTTAAACGAATGCTTCCGGAGTTCATGTCATAGTGGGGACACAATAAACTCCCTGAGGTGCAGATACATCTGAATGAGAAGTTCTGGATAGGATGAAGTGTGCATCCTGGACTCCACTGCCAGCGACAATCAATCAAAAATAACGTAATTTTAGTCCTAACAGAGGTGAGGCTATTTGGTCTCACATCATTAATCAACGTGAAATACAAATTAACCGAAAATCAAAACTTTCGTGTTAAACATGCCTGAAACTTTATCTCTGCACACGTTCAAGCTGACAGGCAAAACGGATAGCAAGCAAGAAGTCACCATTGCACTGAAAATTCTACTTCCAGACATAATAAACATGCTGTTGAACATCCAGCCTTCACTTACCATCAGATGATGTACTGACTGGTGTCGAGTGTGCAGAGTCTGTCATATCAGGGAGATCTATAAGATGGAGCAAACGCTTTCACTTTAGAAGCTTTTGCGGAATTTTTTGCCAAAAATTTATAACATTATAGAAAACATTTCATACAGTCGTTACCTTCCAAGCGGAAAAGATAGCTTTAGTCTTTGAAATTTCAGTAAAAGCGGTCTTTATTATTTTGGGTGGAACTGTTAGCCCCACATGCGAGCTTCCCCAGTTACCACAATAAATATGAGCTAATAAACTGGGCAAGGTTTAGAAGTGTACCGATTGGACATTAGTCAATAACAAGTGTCCTGTGTGTGTGTGTGTCTAGTCTTATCAGCGGTGTAGACTGAATTTCAGCAGTCAAGTTTGCAATGTGGCCACTATTCCACTAGATAGCTCGCCATCACGGTGTGATGTGAACTGAATTTCTGGTATTAGATGTTGGAGGCAGTCGGCTACAGGAGACCCTAGCTCTCCTAGGTTTCGTGCTAGTTGGAACTCACCAGTCAGTCGGCAATGTGTTTCTACAACCCTAAAGGAACTGATCTCCTTTGCTGACAATTAGGATATGTTATTACATCTGCGAAAGCAGATGGAACGGAACTGAAAGGTGCCAACTACCTACTGGAGAGACAGTAATATTTTCCCGCCACCCAAAGGACAACTATGAGCACACCGAGGGAGTGGCCATCATGATGTCACCAACACCAACCAAAGCTCTCATGCAGTGGGAACCAATCTCCCCCAGGATAATGACAGCCAGGTTCAACTCAAAAGGAAGGAAAGTTACAGTCATTCAATGTTATGCGCCTACAAACGTCTCAGAACAAGAGAAGAAGGAGGCGTTCTACAGACAACCACAAGCAATAATGGACAACGTCCCAAATGGCGATATCAAAATCCTGATGGGCGACATGAATGCGAAACTGAGAGGAGACAACACAGGAAGAGAACTCACCATGGGTCGTGAGGCCCTCGGTGAAATGAACGACAATGGTGAACTCTTCTCAGACTTCTGCGCCTTCAATGATTTGGTGATTGGTGGCAGTGTGTTCAAACACAAGGATATACACAAGACGACATGGATTTCACCAGATGGAAACACCAAGAACCAAATAGACTTCATCTCAATTTCAAGAAAGTGGAGACGGAGCCTACTGGACACAAGGTCAAGGAGAGGAGCAGATGTGGGTTCAGACCACTATCTAGTAGAAGGGACTTTCAAGGTGAAACTAAAAGCCTCGAGGATAGCTGGGGATAGGCCACAATGCAAGTTCAACACTCAATTACTGAAGGACACAACCACAAAAGACACTTTCACTGCAACTGTCAGAGCAAAGCAGGAAACACTACGCGACATCACTGAAGAATCATGCGTGGAAGAACATTGGAAGTCTCTGAAGGCGATTCTCAACGAAACGTGTTCAACGGTTCTAGGAAGAAAGAAGAGACAAGACAAGGAATGGCTCTCAACGGACACTTGGAAATTAATAGAAGAGAGGAGAATGGTGAAAGAGAAAATGATTCAATGCAAGGACGGACAGGAGAAGGAGACGCTGAGCTCAACTTACAAAGCACTGGACAAAGAAGTGAAGAAGAGTGCTAGGAAGGACAAAAGACGATTCTACGACAACCTCGCTACTGAAGCTGAGAAGGCAGCAGGCAAAAGGGACCTGAGGACACTATATCAGATAACCAAATCTCTATCCGGGAAGAGATCAACACAAGCGAAACCTATAAAAGACAGCCAAGGGAACCCAATTACCAAGGAAGAAAAACAGATTAAACAATGGGCGGATCACTTCAAAGGACTCTTGAACCGACCATCACCTGCAACCCGTCCAGAAATACCAACAACAGCGCACACACAACTGCAAGTTGACACCAATCCTCCAACGAGAGCTGAAGTCTTGAATGCAATCAAGCTTCTGAAAGCTGGAAAAACAGCCGGACCAGATGGAATACCCCCTGAAGCACTGAAAGCGGACCCAGAGACGACAGCAGACATGCTGACTCCATTATTGCAAAAGGTCTGGAAGGAGGGAAAGGTGCCTACTGACTGGAGGAAAGGTTACCTCGTGAAACTACCAAAGAAGGGCGACTTAGGCCTCACTCTGCAAGAACTGGCGAGGAATCATGCTCCTATCGACGCCAAGTAAAATCCTGAGTCGCATCATCCTGGAGAGATTAAAGGACGCACTGGAGACAGAACTCCGACCAGAACAAGCTGGATTCAGGAAAGGCAAATCATGTACTGACCAAATTGCAACTCTACGCATCATCATCACAGAACAAAGCATGGAATGGCAATCAAACCTCTACCTCAACTTTATAGACTTTGAGAAGGCCTTCGACAGCGTTGACCGTGAAGTAATTTGGAAATTACTCGAGTACTATGGCGTACCCCAAATATTCATCAACCTTATTCAACAGCTGTACGACAACGGCACATGTCAAGTGATCCACAACGGAAAACTCAGCGAGGCGTTTGGAGTAAACACAGGAGTCAGACAAGGGTGCTTATTATCACCAATGATATTCCTAATTGTGGTGGACTGGATTATGCGTCAGACTGTGGGAAACGAGAAGACAGGAATATCCTGGACCGACGTGAAGAACCTAGAAGACCTGGATTTCGCGCGTGGATGATTTATGTTTGATGTCACACACAATCGAAGACTTACAAGCGAAAACCGACAAACTGGTCGAAGAAGCAGCAGCAAAGACAGGACTCCAGGTAAACATAGACAAGACGGAGGTTATGAAAATAACCAACCAACAACAGCAACAACATCCAACGTCAATCACCATCAACGGGAGGGATTTGAAAGAGGTGACTTCATTCACTCACTTATCTAGGGAGCATTGTCTCAACTACAGGAGGAGCGGACGAGGATGTCAAATCGAGAATCGGGAAGGCGAGAAACACATTCATCAACCTGAAATCAATCTGGAAATCTTCGTCACTCAGCATCAACAACAAAATTCGGATTTTCAATACAAACGTCAAGTCAGTCAGTTCTTCTATACGGATCAGAAACTTGGCGGGTGGGTCACAAAGAATATTTCCAAAAGGCTGCAGACCTTTATTAACAACTGTCTTCGCTCAATACTGAAGATCAGATGGCCGGAAAGAATCACCAACAAGGAGTTATGGGAACAAACAAAGCAAGAACCAATCGCCAACCGACAAATATGCAGGAGAAAGTGGAGATGGATCGGACACTCGCTGAGGAGACCGCTGGGTGACATCGCGCGTCAAGCCCTCGAGTGGAACAGGCCGAAAGGGAAGCGGCGAGTGGGACGTCAGTGCAAGAGTGACATGGAGGAGATCGTGTGAAGAGGAGTTGAAACAGTGTGGACTAACATGGATGCAGGCGAAAAGTACAGCAGAAGACAGAAGCAAATGGAGATGTGCAGTTGAAGCCCTATGTTCCACTAGGAACAGAAGGGAGCAATAATAATATAATAATAATTACATCACATACTGTAATTCTATTTGAACGTTATTGTAATCCTGAGCGATGGACATCCATGTTACCTAGAATATCAGATTGTTATATGAGCTTATAACTTCTATGTAACTTCATCATTTGTAATGTTATTCAAAACACCGTTTTGACGTATAACGCTTGCTTTGTCCATGTACAGTTGAGGATGGTAGAGGTGGCTAGAATTATAGTACAAAGACAGCACGAAGTCATTCAGGCACTTAAAGGATCCAATAATCAAATATTTTTAAGTTTTGATGATTTCAGACTAAGAGATAACATCCTAGTTGAGTAAAGGTTTTTTCACTCTTCTTCTCCGGATCCCGAATAGTTCATCTCGAAGTTATTTTTCCACAAGAACCAACTTACTTTGATTTGGAAAACAACATAAACAGCAATCAGCATGAATGAGAGAAACCTGAAGGAAGCTACCTCATTTACCTATCTACCTGCGAAGCATCATTTCAACTACAGGTGGACCGGACTGACGAAGGTTAACAAAGCGAGAATCGGGAATGCAAGGCAGGCTTTCATTACTCTCAAGTCTGTGTGGAGGACAGCAGCAAACAGCATGAAAAAAATAAGATCCGGATTTTCAACTCCAATGTACGGATCACAGACTTGGCTCTGCACGCGTCACGAAAGGCACTTCGAACAAACCGCCGACCTTTATCAACAGCTATCTATGCTTAGTAATACACAAGATCAGATGGCTAGAAAAGATAAGGAAAAGGGAGGCATCTCTGGGAGCGAACCAACACAGCAGTAAGCAACTGTGCAACAAATATGTAGGAAGAGACGAAGGTGGATTGAGCATCAGGTGGTATCACAGGCCAGGCCATCGCTCGAGTGTAACTCGAATGATAAGCGGTGAATTAGTTGGACGTCAGTGCGAGGGTGACGTGGAGGAGGTCATGCGAAGAGGAGAAGAAAGCATTTCGGGCATACGTGGAGCCAGGTTGAAACGATGACGGAGAATCGAACGCAATAAGGACGTGCGGCGGAAGCCCTGTGTTCCTCTGGGAACTAAATGAAACAATATTGATAACTTTGATTTTCATCGAAGTCGTTATAGGGATCCCCTGCTTTCAGAACAAAGGAAAAAATCGAAATCTGAAACACTAATACAAATTTAGCGCCTCTTTATACTTCAGAGTCTTTCCGCAACACGAAAACCGTGTCCTACATGCTACAGAAGACTTTCACCAACACATCTATTCTCTCGGTAGGAGTTACCACATATCGCTGTGGAAAAGATTGAAAACAAGTCCTGGCCAGCAACTTATTTAATATGAGTAGGAAAACTGAGTTGGACAGCGCATACGCTGGCAGCTTTGATTCTTTTTATAGATGAATATATTATATTTTAAATAATATTATTGTCGAAGTTATATAGGCCGCTGCCAACCCCATTTCTCTTTTTTAATGCTCACTGAAGCCTCTGAAATGAAGGCAGGAGTGGAACAAGGTACCGACTCACTCTCTGACATTATTTTTAATTCGGTTCGAGTAAGGAATGAGAAACGTCCATCGTTCAGCAGTTGAATGCTGGCTGCCCATGCATATGCTCCGGGTTTCGAGTTCCGGCCGGTGCACAACATTACCTGCCGGTATCCGGTTAAAATCCTGGCAGAGAAGGAAGGCTGAACGTGAAGGAAGCAACCCCACCCCTTAAAAAGAAGCACAACTGCTTCTGAAACTTTAATGCTAAAGCTTGAAACCCTGTACCCCATTGTGAACACAAAGCAATAAAAAAGGATTGAGAAAAGCGGCATATGCAGGATCAACGAAAAGACTCTAGAAGACCTGGATTTTGCAGATGATATAATTCTAATGTCGCATAAACCCGAATATGTAGTAGTGAAAACCGACACGTATCCAGAAGAGGCAGTAGGCGGAGACAGGATATATATGGTGAATGTAGAGTAAACAGAGCTTGTCAACGCTGATGAACATTTTTTCGTTTATTTATTCCAACTGATCTTTAGACAAGAAGGCTATCGTAGCTTAATCGTATACTGGTTCGCAGAATACTGGAGAAACACGACCGGAAGTATAACTGTACAGTTTATTAACGTTTATTTGCAGACTCTGGTGACAGTAGCCAGTATTCCTGTCTGATTATCGACGGGAGAATCGACATTCGTACTTCATTTTCCTGTTGTTCCGAGTTGATTACTGTGCATAGTATTCTGTGCTTTAGGCGTAGTCCCTTGAGACCAGTGATCAGCATGGATATTTGACAAAGATGATCAGGTCACATAGCCAACAACAGGTACCAATCAGAATCAACGGAAGAAATTTCAAGGATATCCTATTTTGTTACTTATCTGATCGGGCATCATCGTTTCAACTTTTGACGGCATATATGAGGGTGTCTGGGCCATCTCGATAACACTTAGTATTCAGGAGTCATTGAATTTCAACCTATGAAGACCCTGAGTTTGACATTTAGCAGGACAACTGATGCACTGTCCAGTGATGCACCTGATGTCGGTTACCGACAACTCTCTTGACGTACTTCCGACACTAGTTTCACTGAATGCATTAAATTTAAAAATCGGTACTATATTAAAATTGCCATCCAGAATATTACAATTGTTATCATATACATATATATATATATATATGTATTCTGGTCTGTTAAGGAATGTTTGTGAATCCATAAATTAGTGTTTCGTAAGCGCAACAAACATTTCACGGCAAGCTACATCCACGCATATACAATGAGCTGCCTGAGTAATTATTGTTTGGTTAAGGCTTTCCGTGTTGGCGAATGATTTGATGAAATTGCAATGCTACTAGAATCCTGATAAATAACAATATCGCATACTCTGCTTCCCATCTAGTAATGAGAAGAAACACAGTTTTAGTATGACATTACAAACTGCCACTTTTATCTTGTTGCTTACATTACGTAATCAAATAATAAACAGTATGTATGGGGTTTAGTAGTGCAGCATTCGTGTGCTCCAGATTTTGCTCCCAGGTAACGCACTCAGGAAAGTCGCTAGGCCGGTAGTAAGCTCGGAAAAAAAGGAGGGTGGAGCATAAAAGCTGGCAACCTCACCAATCAAGGAGATAACAACACCGAATCAACCGTAACTTCAAAACCTGAAGCCAACACTCAGAAGGCTAACGAATGAAAACGAAAACAATCAATAAAGTACAACGGAACTAAGTAATCGACTTACCAATTATTTCAATATAAATTTTATCATAAACAAAGTCAAGCCTTGATGGACTGTATGTTACAGACTTATTAAGGTAGGCAGGTGACTGTGAATTCAACTCCATATATTCCAGTTTATGATAATTCGGTGACATCTGTGTTAAATTCCCCTTTTTAATAGGATTTGATCTTTCTAAACATATCCATTGGCCTGCTTCTGCTTCACTTGCCCAGGCTATGAATAATCGACTCTCTAGCAGATGTGAATCCAGCCATCGAAGGGTAATATATACACCACCAGATTTGTATGGATTTGATAAACGTCGAATTCCACGATGATACCATTCCAGGGAGATGGTTGGATCAAGTTTAGCTTCTGAAGACGGGAAACTAGCACGACATATCAATTCAAGTGGGGTACCGTAAAATACAAGATTTGGACCAGTCACTGTTATAGCTGATAGGAAAAAGAAGAAAATTAAAAGAAGATGAACCTTTAAAATTGCAATTGTAATTCATCTGACGTCATTGAATTAAACATTGTCTGGTGAAAAGTAACCACATATATAAATATATCTGTATTCATTCTCAAGCGTTCGAAATGGAACTTACGGTTTCAAGTTATGAACCTTTAACAGCGTTGGAGTGTTGCTTCTACGGGTTGAAGCTGCTGGCCTTACGACTGAACTTACCTTTTGCAAAGGCTTGCTGCCAGCTAGTTTATGACTGCTTCACTAGAGAAGTGAACCTTGATTCGCAGAAGATATCCATTCAGACATGAATGTAAGAACAACAAAGTTCAGCGATGAGTTTTCTATTCAACTAATTAATTCACTTAGCTGTACAATGGCATTTATACATAATTATTGTGCGTGTGTGGGTACATTGGGATTGTGAAACAAAAACGAAAATTAGTTAGGTTTATTGTTGATGTCATCAAAATGTTTCAAAAATCTGTTGAATAACCGAGATTGCAATTAGGAGGGGGGTGAAGATTTGTAAGTATTGATAAGGGTTACATGACATGAAATAGGATGTTAATCAAAGAACATGGAGACAAGTGTCCAGAATAAATTATGCAATAGGTAGAAATAGTAAATAAAGGGTTAGTTAAGAAGAAGATGTTACTAAGATGCCATACGAAAATTCCAAAATTAGCGTTATCAATAAATTAGTAGAACCTGGAATAATGCTCAAGGTAGAAGGAGTGGGTGGAGAAGTTTCTTCTGTGCATATAAATCAGGGTTTTCTATGCGGATTGCTAAGGCCTCTTCTCCAATGAAAAATGTACGGTAGCCTACCATTTTCGGGAGGCTTCTTTCTAATTTACAGATAACTTTGAATAATTTCTGCTTACATAGTGAGTGACCAGTGTTGACTATTTGGTCAATTATAGCACTTTTTATTGATCGATTGTTACGTTTTGGTAACAAAGCAGGATAATGTTTTTTTATCTCTTTAAGACAAAAGAGGCATCGAACGACCTATATATATCTCGCTGCACATGAGCAAGTGAATTTTATAGAAACACACAGAAGTGTTAAAATGCGATAGTTTATCTTTGAAGTTGTTGGAGAATACCCATCATATTGTAGCAGCAGGGGATGTTCTCTTCATGGCGTTAGCTATTCTTCTCTTTAGAATATCAGCCGGAATATCGCCTTTTACGCCACATGCACGTGTAGCATTCTTTTTGACACAGAGATGGGTTATTCTTTGTTGAACCTAGTAAAATGTGCATGGTTAGCGGGCATTCTACCAGTTGCCTACGGGCACTACATATATATAAGTTCTGCTATTGACCCCACAAATATTTTCCTTCTTAATTTATACAGAAGGCATTTAGCTCAGGTGGATATTTTGATGTTAGTGCCATGCTGGCCCTAAAGATGATATCTGAAAGAATAATGAAACCTTTGTGATTATTATAAGATTGCTATTCATCTGGCTCCCTCATGGAACATATGGCCTGAGAAGCACGTTCCCACCTGACTGTGTCCCATGTAGTTTGTTTTGTCTGGCTTCCCGATTACTCATAAGCTTTCATTACCACCTCACTCATGGATAGACATCCAGATCATTGTTTCTAAGTATGTATTCACTTGACAGTATGCCTGCTGAGTAGTGTTACTCAATGACTTCATAAGTATTTGTCCTATCTATATCCGTTTCCTTCTTTGTATTACTTAGACTGCAGGTTCTTAGTTATTTCGTCCCCATAGATCTTCCATATTAGTTTATTTATTAGATATATCACACAGTGAAACAGTATTATTTACTGAATGACGTTTCAAACAAAATTTATTGTTCACAATCAAATCAATTGTAATCACACGACTTTGAAACTTGATTTTTATAGTTTTCTTTGTTTTCTGTTATTTGTCGTAGGGGTAGTAGAATTTACCAGATATCAGAGACAGGTGGTGAAACATTCGTATTACATGTATTTGCAGTTGATTCGATAGACAAAGCTTCTGTTATCAATCTATCCCTCCCTCCACCATGTGACATTAGATTTTAAAACTGTCATCCTATCCCATCCTTTTGTATGGTTGTGTGTAAATGCATGTAGTGAATGCTATAGCTGAACTAATCTCTAGATTTCTTATCTTATTTGGCTCAACCAATCTAGGTTTTGCTAAGTTTTTATGTTCGGCTAGTCTGACTGCCCCTGTTCTACTAGTTTGACCTATGTATTTGACCTCACAATCATTGGAGGATATTAGATCAGCTAAATTGTTTTGTTTTAAAGGCTCCACAGGATCCAATAATCGACAAAGCTTGTTTCTAATTGAGTTTGTGGGTTTGAATGCCACTTTTATTCCTGCCTTGTTAAGAATTCTGCGTAAGGCTTCTGAGGTTCTTTCCTTGTATGGAATTACTACTGATGATTTAGATTCTTTATTGTTAGCGTCGTCATTAATATTATTATTATCGCTATTATCATTATCATTACTAGTGTTATCATTATTATTATTATTATTATCACTATCGCTACTATCATTGTGTATTTTATTTTTAGATTTCCTTAGATATTTCCTGACTAATTTATCCGAATAATTATGAAGTTTCAAAGCTTCTTTTATGTGTATCATTTCTTGTCTTAGATTTTCCTTGATACTACTTAGTTTTTGTGCTCTGTCATTTAAACATTCTACCAATCCTATTTTTACTGACATAGGATGCGATGATCTGAAGTCCAAGTATCTGTTTGAATGTGTGGGTTTTCTGTAAACACTAAACACACCAGCCACCTTAGTTGCTTTTGTTTGAAGATGGTCATTTGATCTTCAGAATTGAATTAATGGAAACAGTTGTTGACGAAAGTGAGCAATTAAACCATACACTTCTGACAACAACAAGGATATTATTATTCTCTCGACTGAATGTTCTCCAACAGACTACATTTCATAATATATGTATATGTATCACTTGTCGTGAAACTATTCCCTATTTTACTTGATGTAAAGACCCGGTGAATCCAATTAAACAAAATAATATAATTTACAAAATACCTTACAATGACTGTCAGTTAGACATTATCTTATATTGATTTTTAATCAAACATCTAATCATCAGTTTCACTCATGTATATAAATGAAGGAAACACGTTGTATAAGTAACTTGATATGATTATGAGCAATACTTTGTGCTCGAAATTTTAACAGTCAATATTACTTATTCTATAACACTGTGTGACTTTATCAAAATAAAAAACTTATCTTCAATGGAGTTATACTCTACCACAGTGCCTACGTTTTATACTTACATCGATGATGTAGACATCTTTGTTTGATGTTATTGGAGAGAAAGTGAACAGTAGTGGAATTCAGAAGGAAACACATCGTCCTATTCTTACACTCATCAATAACGAAGTGAGAGAAGTTCTACTAACTTCACCCTAAGACCACTTCAGCAAATTTTCAAAAACTATATATGACCATGAACAATTGTTATATATATGTAAAGATAGATAGATAGATAGATAGATAATAATAATAATAATAAAATAGAAATAAATAATAATAGATAGATAGATATAATAGATAGATAGATAGATAGATAGATAGATATATAGATAGATAGATAGATAGATAGATAGATAGATAGATAGATAGATAGATAGATAGATAGATAGATAGATAGATAGATAGATAGATAGATAGATAGATAGATAGATAGATAGATAGATAGATAGATAGATAGATAGATAGATAGATAGATAGATAGATAGATAGATAGATAGATAGATAGATAGATAGATAGATAGATAGATAGATAAGAGTGAGTAGAATTCACATTCAATCGAGTTGGACTGATAGCCCACTGAGTAAATCAATTCCATTAGAAACCTTACAATAGCAAAAATAATAATAGTAATAAACTCATACATGCAAACCACGATACATGATTTAACAACAATTGCTGCATCTACTCTAAAAATAACTCAAGTAAAAGCATAAATCATTCACTAAAACCCATTTAATTTAGCGAGAGACAACGCCCAGTGAATAATGTCATTTTTGAAGATATTGAGACGTTTAAACAAGGAACATGAACAAATATATGTATACCATAAGACCTTTGATAACCCTGAGGCATATTTGTGTAGTTCTATATGCAGTTCGGATGTTATGCTACAAAGATCTTCAGTTGAAAAGAACCCTTATTCATAACAACCTAAGTTCGAATAACATTTTTATTTACTTTAGTCAGTAATGCTACTGGTGGACCAAGTTAGTCCTCCATAGTATGGTGAGTACAAAAGAGCGATAAGCTTTGAAGTTATATGCTGGAAATCGAATAAAAGATATCCTATATAACATCCGAATAATAATACGAATGCTACTAATAAACTATTGCGACACAGTATTCAAGTGGAATTTATGCCCAGAAGGTTTGGTTAGTATAAATGAGTTTGATTTCAGATCGGCCTGCAAGAGCATCAATTAGTGCTGAACTGAGAATGATGGGTTACTGGATACCTGATGTTTATTAGTTTATCCCTCTTTAGTTATGTTTTGTATATGGGATCAAAAGGAGAGAATTATACATTGCACGATTTCTAAATTCTGCTGACTCATGACATGGAGTTAATGCAACTTGGCATTGTAGTTGAGTATACCCTTATTTTGATTAGCCACATTGAAAACCTGACTGACAGCTGTCCGTCTGCACCAAACTAAGGTCCTACAGGAGATCGATCATGAGCGTGAATAGATCAGGGGTAACGTCTCTGAATGCAGTACTTACTAGGTGACTCGAATTAGAATCTCAGAAGGGATATGAGTTTCTTCACGGTATTTGCAGATATAACTTGCTAACTGAGTGGTGAGTGCCAACTAGCACGAAACCTTGGTTAGGTAGGGCTTCCTGTAGCCGGTTGCCTACAACCATCTAATAAACCCTCATTACCAATTTGGTGGACATTAATTGATGTCATCTTTTCTAATATGT